ACTGCCTGGAGTAATGAGATTCCTGTAATACTCGGTTCAAATACGCATGAAGGACTCTTTCATTATGCTGAAACTAAGCGCAAACCATATTTGGTCAACGAACTAGCTGATTTCGTGCATATGCTGCCAACGGCAGTGAAAGGCGAGCGTGAAGCACATGAACAAAAAGAGCTGGCGCTACGTATTAAGGAAGCACATTTTGGTGAAAAAGTGCCACATCATAATGATACATTCGATAATTACTTAGAAGTGAGTCACATTGTGAAATACAAAAACGAATATCAATTCCTTTGCTTTGCTTGTTTCCTTTTCTTTCGCTTTGCAGATGGTGTCTTACAGACATTTCTTCAGTGACATTCACCGCACACTTTTGGCTCGTATGGCCTATGCTCCTAATGTACCCACCTACCTCTATCACTTTGCATTCGATTCGCCACATTTCAATCATTATCGCATTTTGAATTGTGGCAAATCTGTGCGTGGCGTTTCGCATGCCGATGATCTCTCCTACCTCTTCTACAATGTGAGTGCCGGTAAATTATCGTCGTACAGTGATGAATTCAAGACAGTACAACGTATGACTGGTATGTGGACAGCATTTGCTACGACAGGCAATCCGAATTGTGAGGAAATCGCATCGACCAGCTGGCAACCGGTTGAAGCGAACGATGCGGAGCGCGCACAACCGAAATGCCTAAATATTGAGGAGGAAGTTGAATTCATTACACTTCCACAGGAAAAGCTCAAAGTCTGGGAAAGTTTATATACAAACAACAGTTTATATTGAGGGAATCTCTTGCTTAGTTATCGTTGCTTGCCAGTGCGTTATTAATATATATTATCCGCGTAAAGAATTTCGTTTACTCTTAAAACTTGTTGTGTTAAATATTTTTTATAAAATTTTTTTATATTTTTGTTATAACTAAATATGTAGAATATATGTTGTGATATGAATATTTTTGAATATAATTTTTTAAAGTACAGAGTTAGTGGATTTCAATTATCAAAATATCAATATCTGTCAACTGTGCTTCACACAAAAAAGAGACGCGTTACCCAGAAATTAGAGCTCTAGCCTTAGATATAAACACTCTGAAGCAAATTTTAATAATTAAAAGTACTTTGAAACGCAATTTTCCTCAGCAATGGGAAGCCGAGGTGGCTGAGTCGCTAAACCGTAATACAGCAGATTTTTTAGAGCGCTCTTGGATTTACTTTCGTCATATGCAATGCATACATTATTCTTCGTGACTAATGACTTAACGTTAATACAAAAAAAATATATTTTTAAAACAAGCTTTCTAAAAAGGAACCAAATCGGACTATAAATATGGGCGTTTCAAATATCTTGACTCCCGCGTCACCTGGCGGATTAATTCATATTTATTATTGCATTGCCATCGGGTTCTGAGCTAAGTTCGAAATTTCAAGTCTCTAGCTCTAGTCGGGAAGTTCTAGTTGATTTCATGAATTGATCCAAACAAATAAGAATAGAAAGCAAATTAAGTAAAAGCTTGTAAAAAAGCTTAAATTTCGGAAATTACAATGATTGATTCATGAGTTCGCCCAAGTGTTCTTACTCTTCGGAAAGTTTCGCATATGTACTTCATGCGACCTGCAGTTGTACGCCGCCTCCGAACTACAAATGGATTTTAAAAGAAGCTTTTTCATCGCAGAAATACACTCGGAAGTTTGCCATTGCCAGCTGAGAGGTGACCGCTCTAAATGCTATAAACTAAATCGGGCCATAGACGCAGGGTTGCGCCACCTGCCGGATAAATTTTTCGCGGCATTATTTTGTTTGTGTAAGTGATACACTTTCCATGTGTGATCTAGCTCATTTATTCAAGCTTACTGGTAACTTCTCAAAGGAATAGACATTGTAAGCTAATTGAACTACATACAGAATGTGGAATGTTACAAATAGCCAAGCTTCGACTGAAGCATTTCTCTTCTGAAGTAAAACAAAGAGTGAAAATGCTCCAAAAAGCATACTGGAAATTTCGGACAATATAATTCAGAAATATTTTTAATCCAATAAAGAAGTGTGAAGTATAACAATCAGTGGGCTAAAAGCGGTCTCGAAAAAGCAAGCACATTTGCTCGTCATCTAAAAAGCGTGTTTACTATACAAAATACAAATACAAAAAAGAACTCAAAATTTGAAGTTGGGAAAGCCATCAAAAAAACTCAAAGCTAAGAAGACTCGCTGTTATGATCTAATCCCGGACATATAAATATTTAGGGGAATGAGTCGGCTGATGATATGGCCGGATGCGGCTCAGATATGCCAAAAGAAGAAGCGGAAAGCTCCGTACTAACACAATTTAGCGATCATGTTAGGAAAATTAACGAATGACTTTTGGAACAAATGGGAAGACTATAAGACCACAAGATTATTATGGCCGCCGCTTTGTGGGAAAAAGATAACGGACATAAGAGTCATTACCGGCGTTATCACAGGTCACAGAACACTATGCTATAGCACTAATGCTTCAACGGTGGCGCATACCAATAAGGAATAAGAAGGGTCCAATTACCACTATGACCACTGTGTCGATGTCCAAGTATACAGACGAAGAGACTCCAGCACTAGGGTTTACGTTAGTGTGGGCGAGGTAGCGGAGGTGGAACTGTTGGATCTCATCGGCTTCATCGGAGATAGTAACTGGTTCAATAGAATAATGACTTGACACTCACTTAAAGAGGGCACTCACAAGGAGGGTGTCTTCAAGTCTTCAAGTGAAAGTATGGAATATTCCACATAACAGCATTTGAAGGAGCCATTGTTGGCACATGTTCGGACGATACTGCGGTTCTCGCTATAGATACCCTTCCACAACTCGCTTCGCTTACGCTCCAAAACGGCCTAAACAATATAACGCGATGGCTGAAAGATTGGTGAATTAAGCCAAATGAGACAAAGCCTGTTCAGGTTAAATTCTTCCTTAAACGTAAAATTACAGCCTGTAATAAGACAAAATAATTAGGCATGCCTCGTTGTAAGCTTACGTTGAAAACTTATATTTTCAAGTCAGAAATTTACAATAGTTACTGAACCCAAAATCTCGGGACTCACTAGAGTATAAGCTCTTTCACAATTTATCCGTTTTTAAACTGGTATGGTATTCTCAAAAACGAAACGAAAACGATTTAAAATTGCATTCAAATCTCATAACGCATTTCTACTTACAATATATTCTCGTGGCAGCATTGCATGCCACATTTGCAGCCAAACATCAAGGGCATTGACCTGCTGCACACAATTTCTTTGAATGTAAACAAACTAGGTAATAACATTGCTATGTTAAGCAGCTTTTAAGAGCATTGCAATAACGAGCTGGTTATACATAAGCCGGCTACTAAAGAACAATCAAGCGATGAAAGAGAGTGTAAAGTGCAATGACGATGTGAGTGCACTGAGAGAAGCAGGGGAGCTCACTTTTTTTTTTGTTATTTAGGCGCGCTCTTTCTTAAAATAATACCACACTACTTGTAAGCGATCTTGTGTGAGTTTCAGCGCACTTCTCGAACAATACAGAGCGGCGTGTGAGAAGTGTGAATGAGTAGATAATTGAAATAGTGTAATGAATAATCGCACTGAGTCTTGCAGCAAAACAAAAACCGATAAAGTCATATCAAAACATTCTGATCAGTAATAAAATAAAATATGCGATCGACGTGAACGACAACAAAGTGGCCGATAGAAGTTGAAATACAAATAAAGTGAACAATCAAAATACATAATACAATAAGTAAATAAGTAAATAAAAGTATTCGATAAGACGCCAAACATGTTCGACTGCGGCAGAGTATTCCAATAATGTTTGCATATGAAAACATTGAAGGAGATCCATTGGATGTGTAGTGCCAAAGGGCCAACAGTTGCTCGCGATACATAGTGGAGTGTAGTTGCATCGGCCAGCTAATTGTCTTAGATAAACGGAAAAAAGTATAATTAGATAACAAAAGCGAGCAGAAGTTAAAAAAAAATTTATAAACGAATTAAAAATAATCAGCAACAAAACGGGTTTAATTAAAAAGTTTCCAATAACAAACAAATAAAAGTTGAGTGTGACGTAGTTTTTTATCATACAACATTTTTATTTATTTTTTTTGTTGTAGCTCAACCATGTCAAGCAAGTAAGTGCAGCTGGTCAAGGTCTATTAATAAGTGCACATACAAACGTACATACATATCTACATATTTAGGTGTATTCTTTTTTAAATTTTTTGTTAACTTAACTCCATCAATTAGCTCACCTGATGCAGAAGTGTTGGTGCACACAGCACTGGGCACGCTCAAAGGTCAACGCAACACATCCATTTACGATGACAATTACTACAGTTTCGAATGTATTCCCTTCGCTCAGCCGCCGTTGGGTGCACTGCGATTCAAAGCCCCTTTGGCCGCCACACCGTGGCCAGGTGTGTTGGATTGTACACAAAAAGCCAAAAAGCCAATACAAAAGAATCCGCGCACAAATGAAATTGAAGGCGATGAGGATTGTTTATATTTGAATATCTATGCTAAAGAGGTAAGCATGATGAAAGTAAACACTAGTACATATATACAGCTACTTACCCTGCAAAACATTTTTTCACAGTATTCGGAATTTTAGAGAAATTTTAAAGTATTCGTAAAGATCTCAACCGATTTTTTGCCGATTTTTTTTTCTAAATTGAAATAATGCTGAAATGTTAAGAATTTCTAGCAGAATATTTTAAGAATTTTCTTGGTTTTTCGTACAGAAATTTCTTAACGAGTTCGTGTCAAGATTCGTAAAAAAATCGTTACAGAAATGAGAAACTCCTAAAGATTTCGTTAAGATTTCGGGAACTTTGGTTTGCAGGGTATATTTAAGATACTTTTACATGTGTGATCAAAACATGCAAATTCTTCATACTGAATTATTCAGCATACGTATGTATGTAGAAGTATATGCCAGTCAATATAGCACTTACGACCGGTTACTCAGGGAGATTTTCACCATTTCTGGTTAACACTAATTTCCAGTTAAACATCATTACCGACGTTTTCGACACAATGTTATATGCATGGAGTCAGTAGTCAGAAGGAAATATTTGTTTGTTAATTAAAAACTGTTGACAATTACCGCATCGCTTCTACTAGCTCTTATGCACAGATGTGCAAATGTAGATATATATATAAAAGACCTGTCGTAATTTGTTGAAACTTTACAACTAAAAGGATTACTTCACGGTGATTCCAAAAATGAAACCGGTTTTTGTACCGGTTACCAATTTCGAAAAATCCGGGTTTTAAGTATCGGTTACCAATTTTGAGAAAAGCGGAGTCACGTCTCTTTTATTAATATTTTTCGTAAAAATTTCTCTGTATATCAGTTTTGAAAAAAGTTTGGAGAATAAGCGTAGCCCAAGATGATAAGTTCTTTGTATCTCTAAATACTTGGTAAATATATTTTTCTTGGTATTACTAAGAAAAGCGGTGACAAATTTTGAAATCGTTTAATAAACACGCACACATTTCAGTACAGTATTTAAAAAATTTAAACTAAGCGATAATTTAATAATTTATAGAGAAATCTTTAGGCCAAATTTGTATTATTATTATATAAAAAAATTAACGAGCCCATTCTGCTTTTTACAAAATTGTTACCCGATAGTAAAAACTTGTATATTTCGAAATTGGTAGCCGGTACAAAAAAAAAAACGAATTCATTTTAGAAATTGAAATAATATAAAAAGTTATATACAGCGTATTTTTATTACTGTTTACGTAAAAATACAAAAAAAAAAAAATTTTAGATATATGCCGGTGTTTTCATTTCTTTTGATTGTCCCTTTCTTTTATCGCACTCTATTCTAAAATAAAGACAAACGATGAGAAAGTTATGTATTATATTATAAAAATATCATACTCTTGTCTATATTAAACAACTTTTCCTAGTTTTTTTTAATCTGTTAAGCTATGCAATGAAAAAAAATACACAGCTAATTACATTTCTCTCAAAAATTGATAGATGAAATGTATAATAGCCGTCATCGATTCGCCACTTCGCTGCTTACTAAATATATTTGAGTTTCGGTCGCTTAACAAAAAATTTTGCATGTGAAAGCAACAACAAAGTTATCTAGCGCGGATAGACGATAGCGAGTTTGGTTGTACCTCATTTAGTTCGTTCGTTTCGTCACTCGGTAACTGTTGGCGAATCGATGACTGCTCATGTCACTTTATCTAAATCATGCTTTGAGAGAAACATACTAAGTACACTTTTCCAAGTGTGGCTTAACCAACGAAATGTTCTGATTATTTTCTTATAACTAATTTTTTTTGTATTTCAAGTTTAATCGCTTATATTTTTCGTTCACATATATAATATGCAAATATTTATTTATTCAACTTTAGCTTGCATCTGACAAACCTCTACCAGTTATGGTCTTCCTCTATGGCGGTGGCTTTGAAAGGGGTGATCCTACACGCGATCTACATGGTCCAGATTATTTTATGATGAAAGACGTAATATTGGTCACAATAGCGTATCGACTGGGACCATTAGGTGGGTAAATTATTATTAGACGTGCTATATGCAGACTGACACAAGCATACTATTTATGCGCGTAAATGCATTGTGTATATATGTACATATGTACATATGTAGGCATATACTCATGTTAATGTACATATAAACTGAAAGTAGCGTCATTACTTTATTTTGTGAGAGAGTTAAGTTTCAACGGAAACTAGCAATTGTTGAATTTCATGTATAACTGTATAAAATTCAATATGTATATTTTTAGCTATACAATTTAATACTATTTACTATTTCATGTTTTAGTTTATCTTGTGAAAATGTAGCACGTTCCAGTAGCACGTAAATTTTTCTCACTGTCAGCAATAAAATAGCGTAAATCATGTGAAACGAGTACCTATTTATTCTATGCGCACAGACGCAGATAGTTTATTTGCCCTGCTAGTCGTTTTTAAAATGAGATACGTATAAAGTTTTTTAAGCTATCTTGCGCTATTTCGTAAGATTCGTAACATTTTTTAATTTGAATACTTTTGTTAACATTGCTAATTAGCTTTTTTAAGTTTTTCATATAAATTATTTTATAGTTTTCAAAAATTGTTTTCTTTTTATTTTCCTTTTATTAGCTCGGGATGTAACTATGTAATATTGATGCGCCTAAAAGATGCAGCGATTTCTATTCTCAAGTTACATACCTGATGACAGTACGAATGGCAATTATAATAGGAAGGTTTTAGTTTTTTAAACTATAATTTTATTTACTTTCACATAAGAGGGTTGCTTGCAATTGACATGCAAAAAGAAAAGTAAATGCGCCTGGGCCACACTGGAGAAGTGAAACCTACGTTACATATCCATTTTGTCTCATAACCAATATACGTACATACATACATACCTACATACATACAAACATCTTCTTCTGCTTAAGGTTATATTTTTTGTCTTTTTTCTATCGAGATCCCTGCCTCTACCCCTGTTCGTTCTAATTACATTTATTTTATTCTGTTTTATTTATCCTCATTTTTATCTTTATACTCTATCGACAACAAAGTCGACAGCAACATCCGTCAAAATTTCGATAACAAAACCGATAACGAATTCAATAAAAATTTCGATAGAAAATCGATAAAAACACCCATAACAAAATTAATAAAAATATCGATAACAAAATCAATAAATAATCCAGCACCAAATCGATTAGAAAATCCATAAAAATATCGATTACAAAATCTATAGAGCTATCGATAAAAATATTGATAATAAAATCGATAAATAATCGATAAGAAAATCGACAAATAATCGGTAACGAAATCAATAACAAAATTAATAAATAATCGATAACAAAATCGATAACACAACCGATAAATAATCAATAACAAATCGATGACAAAATCGATAATAATATTGGTCACAAAATCGATTAGAAAATCGATAAAAATATCGACAACAAAATCAATAAATAATCGATTGAAAAATCGATAAAAATATCGCTAAAAAAATCGTTAAATATCGATAAGAAAATCGATAAATATCCATAAAAAAGTCGATAAAAAGTATCGCTAACAAAATAGCTAAATACATCGATTACAAAATCGATAACAAATCGATGGAAATATCGATTGCAAAATCGATAAAAATATCGATTATGTCGATAAGTTCCAAAAATATCTATAGCAAAATTGATAGCAATATCGATAAAAATTTCGATAAAAACATCATAAGAAAACTGATAAAAATATCGATTATTTTATCGGTAAGTCCCGAAAATCTCTAAAATCCCAAAACAGTTCCCAGATTGAGTCTATGTGTCTCTCTCTATATCCTTTCCTATTTTATTAACTTTATTTTAATCTTTCTTCTCCTATCTTCATCTTTACTTTTATCGGTATCCTCATGCTCCCTTTGTCTTTTCTTTTATGTTTATCATATTCTTCATCTACATACCTTTGCTCTTACATATATGCATATAAGTAAAGTGTTTAAATTTACCTTGGTCTTCAGTTTTGTCTTTATCTTTACGCATCTTTGTTTTAGTTTTTATTTTTACTTTTGTTTTAATCCTTTTCTTTATCTATGTATGTAGTAGTTGCCTTGCAAATTCATCTGTTATACAGTTTACCTCTAGGTCCCTATGAACCGGGACCCAAGTAAGGTGAAGTCGGTTCTACTTGGCCATCTCCTGTTGAGATAGATGGCAATCCAGCGCAATCTTTGACTAAAACGTGGAAGCTCTCAGAGCTTCGAATACAGACTGGCTATTATTAAAAATGATCACGTCTCTTCCAATCAGTTCTGTTA